GTCTCATTATGTTGCCCAGGCTGGTCTCAAGCTCCTGGCCTCAAGCAATCCTCCTTCTTTGGCCTAGCAAGTAGTTGGGATTACAGGCAGGAGCCACTGTGCCCTGCCTCACCCTTTCTCTCATTAAAAACTTGAGCTTCTTGTTTGTTCTGTGGAGCACTTGCCAAGGTAACTTGGAAGTGTGCAGTCCCAGGGTGCAGTCCTCAACATTTGCACTTGAATAAACTCCCTTTAAACTACATTCTGAGCTGGTGACATAGCAAGACCCCACCTCTAAAACTTTTTCTTCATTAGCTAGATATGGTGGTGCATGCCTGTGGTCCCAGCTACCCAGGAGGCTAAGGTGGGATGATTGTACCACTGCACTCCAGCCTAAGTGACAGAGTGAGACTCTGTCTCAGAAAAAAAAAACAAAACAACCCACAACATGCTGACTCTTGATTATTCTGTCGATATGTTGATGGACATTTGAGGTGTCTCCATCTTTTGGCTATTGTGAATAATATTGCTGTGAACATGGGTGTTAGACTCATTACTTTTTCTTCAATCTGCCCTGCCCACTTCCACCGGAGGACTTTGCACTGGCTGTTCCCTCTGCCTGGATACTCTTCCCCAAGGGATCCACATGGCTCACTTTCTTCAAGTCTTTGCTCAAATGTTGCCTTCTCAATGAGGCCTACGCTGACCACCCTATAGGTTCCGCAACCTGGCACTCCTTGTTCCCTTTACTCTATTTTTTTCTATAGCACTTACCACTTTCTATGCGCTATATAATATACTTATTTAGTATATGAATTGTTTAGGATCTGTGTCTCTCCATGAGAATGTCAACTCCCTGAGGGATCAATGTCTGTTTTGTTTATCTCAGGCATTCATGTAGGTAGGTGCTTAATACACACATAGTTTGTTGAATGAACTTAAAAATCACAAGCCTAAGTCATTTGCTGAGTTACAGATTTTAAACTGGAGTCACAAGACGAATGTGTCAGATGCTCTAACATGCCAAACTTTCTTAAATACCTCAAATACTTAAAATACGATATACACACAGATCATTTCAAATCTGGGTTAAAATTGAGGTTAACTTCTCAACTGGTTGAAGGTGCGTATCTCTGGAGATGTGGGTCAGGGAATGAGATCTGAAGCTGCAGACAACCAGTGTGACTTTTTCTCATGATCTGAGGACCATGCTGTGACCTTGATTTTCCTCTTCCCTGACCTTAGGGCCACCGTGCAGATTGTGTGCAGCCCAGTTGGGAGTGGGGTGGGGTGGAGTAAGTGGATGCTGAAATCCAGTCTGTGCCCCACTTGCCAAATGCAGGGCTTGAGTGCCAGCACAGGGTGGTGTCCATTAGAGAGAAGGGAGTGGTGCCTCTTTCCCATTTATCACAGGCCTGGATGAGCTGGGAGTGGTCCTGCTTTGTCAAAGAAGGTGCTAGCCCACTACCTGAAAATTGGTTGGCTTTCCAGCTCACATCTCCCAAGTCAATTCCATGTTTCCTACTTTTCAGGTTTGTTGAGGCTGTTCCCCCACCCACTATTGGATTTAATGAATCTGGTTGTTATGTGATTCTATTCTGAGTTCTTTTCATAGACATCCCATCTGGCAAGGCCATGACTCTCAAAGCTATTTCTATGACACCAGATTGGATCTCACACTTCCTATGCTATTGTCTGACTCAGCACGACACAACAGCCAAGGCATCTGAATCACACTGCTCTTCCTTTTTCTTTATTTAACAAACATTTACATAGTCCTTCTCCTGTGCCAGGCGCTGTTCTAACACTTTCCAAATATTAACCTATTCAACCCTCCAACCTAAGAGGTGGGTACTATAATTATTTCATTTTGCAGATGAGGAGACTGATGCTCAGAGAATTTAAGTGACTTGCCCAGGGTTCACGTGGCCACAGGTGGCAGGGCTGGGATTCAAACCCAGGTTGACCGGCCTGGAGTCTGTGCTGGTAACCGCGATGCTTTGCTCCATCTTCACTTTTTTCTTGTCATTCTTTCCCTCCTTCTTCCTCTTCCTTCCTCCCCTTGTTTTCTCTTCCCTTTCTTCTTTCCTCATTCCCTTTTTTTTTCCTGACAGGGCCACGGCAACTGCCACCTGCTTCTCCCGGACACCACCCAGCCCACCATGCCCTCGCCCCATTCCTCCAGGCAAGGCTCTGCCAGGCTGTCATCACCCTCGTTTCCCTGTGCCAGCAGATAGGGTGTGCCAACTTCAGCTCCCTCAACCTGCTGGCTCAGACCACAGTAGCCGGCAGAAGCCTGGGAACTGGGGCCAGGCCAGCCTGGAGGGCAGTTGGCCCTTCAGGAAGTTACATGACATGCCCATATCTTCCCCAATGATGGCTATGTTACCAATATCATAATTTATTTTCTTGCCCAAGGATTTTAATGTGATGCCAACATGTCTTGTGCTGCTTGAGATAAACTTAAGGCAAATAAGGGGCCAAGAGAAAGAGTGAGATAGAGAAAGGGACAAAATGACAGAAAGAGACAGAGAACCCTAAGGTAGAGGGCAAGGGTGAAGAGACCCAGCCATCCGAGGTTCTCTCAATAGAAGTGGCTGCCTACAGTTTTGGCATCAAGGAGGAATGGATTGACATTATCCCTCTATGCGTGAGTGAACTTTTTTCTGAGTTTGTCAAAGGACTCCTGCCCTTCTCCATAACTATGCCTTTGCTTGTGCGGTTCCCCTGGCCTGGAAGGCCTTCCCAATCGTTTCTACCTGAGGTCCATGCTCACGTGCTGCCCGCTTCTGGGAACCCTTTCCTGCATTCCTGCAGGGGACTCTGCTGGTCTCTCCTCTGACACCAGAGCATCTGTGTGCACGTACACACTTCCCTGTCTTGAACTAATTGGCTTACACCCCCCCTCTATGCCCAGTGCAGGAGTGGTGCCTGGAGGAGGCCGAGAGGTGCAGGAAGTCTATCAGCACTTCACAGAGGAAGGAAAAGTGGGGATTGTGAAAGTCTCAAGGCAAGATGACTCTGGGTTCAAGGCTTACCAGCTGGTGACCTTGGGGAATTCACCTAACTGCTCTGTGCCTCAGTTTCCCTTCTATAAAATGGGAATGATATTACATTTTGTACAGTTTGTACATCATTGGGTTGCATGAGAATTAAATAAGATATGTAAAGCACATAGAACAGTGTTTGGCATGTGCAAATCACTCAGTAAATATTAGTCATTATTATTATTAAAGTGGAAATAGTAATAGAGTTACCTAAAAGATTAAAGAAAGTACTTTTTATGAAGTGTGAAGCATATAGGAAGGTCTTTGTCATTATCATTAACAATATTGAGAGCAGTGTTCAATCCATTGTGATCTCCAGAATTAACTTATAAGGTGAGGCCACATTGCCATTGCTTTTCTGAGCAAATAAAATGATGAATATGATGTTTTTTTCTTTTCTTTTCTTTTTTGAGGTAGTCTTGCTTTGTCCCCCAGGCTGCAGTGCAGTGGCACCATCTCGGCTCACTGCAACCTCTGCTTCCTGGGTTCAAGTGATTCTCTTACCTCAACCTCCTGAGTGGCTGGGATTACAGGCATGCAACACTACACCCAGTTAATTTTTTATATTTTTGGTAGAAAAGAGGTTTCACCATGTTGGCTAGGCTGTTCTCAAACTCCTGACGTCAAATGATCTGCCTGCCTCAGCCGCCCAAAGTGCTTGTTCTGGGACCTCCGTGGCCTCAGACATTCAAGAGGTTGGTTTTACTCCCCATGTCCTGGCTTTTGGGACCTAAGGCAGAGGCTAGTGATGGAGACTGGAAGCTGGGCCTATTGCTTTGCTTCTGACAGGTTGGGAAGCTTCTTCTTTGTCTGTATCAGCAAACAAAGGGAAGTCATTATTCACTCCTGCTGACATTGTAACGTTAAAAAAAAAAAGGACATCAGATTGAGAGAAAAGGCTTTTAAGTCACTGGCACCCATTTCTTCTGTACAAATGGGTGAACCCAGGCCAAGAGAGGGGAAACGACCTGCTGAAAGCCACAAAGTAAGGTACAGCCAGGGCTAGAACCTAGGTCTCTAAATCCCTAGTTCACTGCCCTTTCACTGGTGATTGCTTTCCAAAAACTCAATGCTCTCCAAGTCCGGAGCCCCATGTCCTTAAATGCAAGGTGATGGAGGCACAGTGCTCCTGTCCAGAGACCAGGTGGGGAATACTCTTTGAAGGCAGGGAAAGTGAGATGGGCAAAACCAGTATGCAGGACACCCCCCTACTGTCCAATTATCTCACTTAATCTTCACAACCCTATGAGGCAGAGACTATCATTATCATCCCCATTTCACTCCTGTAAAAGGGGGTCAGTAGCACTGCAGGGATGTAAACGGAGGCCCAGGATCGTCCCATCGTTCTCTGCAGCTCTTGCTCCTGGAGCCTGGCCATTGCTAAGGTCCAGAACGTGTGCAGGGCACAAAGCATATAGGTCTCCGGGACCGGGATAAAGTTCTGCCTCTCTATACCCTATGGTACCCAGCACAGCGTAGGCGCAGAGTAGGTCCTGGCTGATCAATCGTCCTGCCTTTTGAAAATGCCATCTTTTCCACAGGTTTGGCCATGCTGTACACCCCCAAGATACAACTTCTTATACCAAGTCTCCACTCTCACTCATGTGTTTCTCTATTCCTGCAGTTTGCTTCACCTCCACGTCCCCTGAATACGTATTTTTTCTGTCTCTAGCCTTCAGGAACTTTGACTCCTTGGCTGCCTTATTCTTTGAGCACATTGGTCAAGAGCCAAAGATCTGTTGGCCTCAGCTTTCCCAGCTGTACAATGGAGGGCAGAGGCAGTGGCTGGCTTTGACGCCCTGCTTGTTCGAATCTGGAGCAGAAGAACCGCACAAAATTACAGTACCGAGCCCCACCTCCTTTCCCCACCCCCGTCCCCGCCCTCGTTCGGAAAGCGCCTGCGCAGAAGCCGCCGGCCTGCCCTTCACTAGTCTAATCAGTATCCGCCCTTTTCGCTCCCTCGAAGACTCGGCGCTCGACAGGCGTCTGTCTATCAGCGTGCCTTACGGTTGATTCGCCGCCGCAGGCGCACCTGCCGAGTGCCGAGCTACCGATGGAGATGGCGTCGGCAGCTGTGTGAGGGGCCGTGGAGGCCCAGAACCCGGGCCCACGGGACTGGAAAGGCCTGCGTGCCTGCAGGAGGCCGGCCGGGTACAGAGGGTCAGGCCCAGTCTGAGGGACGGGGACACGGCTCCTCTCCAGAACGGAGACGGGCGGGCCGTTGTGGGTGTGGGCCGTGTGTGGTTGTGGTGGGTGTGACGTGAGAGGTGGGAGATGCCGGTTTCAGGCCGTGCATTTCGCTTGTGTGTGCCTGAGGTGATTGGACTCTGTGTGGTTGTGCGGTTACGGGGGCCGTATACACTCGGGTTTGGTTTTGCAGCTGTGGGGGAAGTGGGTGGGTGCTTGTCTTCCGAGTGGTTGTGTTTGGTTCTCTGGTTGTGTAAAGCTGAAGCGTTTGTATTCTGAGTTCGTATGGAGATGTTTGGAGCGTTTTGTGTGATGTCTGTGCGATGTGTGACGTTATCATCTCTGCTCCACGGGGTTGAGTCGTTCCTGTTGTGTATGGTCATGCGACGTATGTATAATCGTGTTAGTGGCGGGGCGCGGTGGCTCACGCCTGTAATCCCAGCACTTTGGGAGGCTGAGGCGGGCGGATCACCTGAGGTCGGGAGTTCGAGACCAGCCTGGCCAACATGGAGAAACCACATCTCTACTAAAAATACAAAATTAGCCGGGCGTGGTGGTGCGCACCTGTAATCCCAGCTACTCGGGACGCTGAGGCAGGAGAATCACTTGAACCCGGGAGGCGGAGGTTGTGGTGAGCTGAGATCGCGCCATTGCAATCCAGCCTGAGCAGCAAAAGCGAAATACGCCATCTCAAAAAAAAAAAAAAAAATCGTGTTAGTTGTGGTTGTGTGCAGTCGTGAGGACGGGTTGAGTGCTGCTGTGGGATGTGTCCTCGTTGTGGCATATGGCGGGGTGACAGTCATGCTGGATGTAGTTGCAGAACATGTAAGTATTGTGTGTGTGTGTTTTTATTTTTTACATGATTTAGAGTTCGAGGGGCTTGCATATGTGTTCAGTTATGGTCGTGGGGTCCAATTCAGTTTATGTTAGATTTCTTTATGGCATATGCTTAGAGGATTTTAGAGTTTATTCCTTTGTTCATTTCATTCATGGAGCTTTATTGTGTTTCTTAATTGTGTGTGCCAGGTACTTCGCTAAACCCTGGGGAGACAGCACAGGGGAAAACATATAGAATCTGTGCCTGCCCTCACAGATTTTACAGTCTTACTTAGTCACTTCACATATGTACCTGCAGTTATAAATTGAGATGAGTGCCGTGAAGGAAAAGTCCATTCTAATGCCCTGAATAAGAGGCATTTCTTTGAGGAAGTGAGGTTTGGTTTTGGGCTGAGGTGTGAAGGGTGGTTGTGTGGCATGGTTGTGGTGGGCTTTGTGTTTGATTTGTGGTTGTTAGACGTGAGTGCATGGGTAGGAAGGGAGCTGTCAGAGTCAGCATCAGTTGAACCACTGGCTGGGGAGGGAACAGGCCAGACCTAGAGCTGCTATATTTCTTTGGAAAAAAGGCAGGGATCTGCATGTATGTAGTCACTGGGCTTCTTAACTAGAGGGAAAAAATAGGGACCTGGTGTCTCATTTGTTTATTTTCTGAGGTGCTGCCACCCTTCAGCTTTGAGGACCAGGCAGTCCCTCCTCGGTGGTCTTCTACAGTCCATCCAAAGCTAAGGATCACACATCCCCTCTCACTATATACTGTGGCTTGTAGCCCCAGGTTCTTGGGAAGAAATTTCTCTGCTTTTGTGAAATGGTTTTGTCTAGATTTCTCCTGTGACTGGGAGTCTTTATGAGGTGACACTGGAAGTGACTTTACCATGGGTCAGTAAGAAAGTGAATGTAGCTTATTAAGCCCTGAAATGTTTAGCCACCAAAGCCTTTTATTTATTTATTTAGAGACGGAATTTCGCTCTTGTTGCCCAGGCTGGAATGCAATGGTGTGATCTCAGCCCACAGCAACTCTGCCTCCTGGGTTCAAGTGATTCTCCTGCCTCAGCCTCCCAACAAGCTGGGATTACAGACACCTGCCACCACACCTAGCTAATTTTTCTATTTTTTGTAGGGATGGGTTTTCGTCATATTGGCCAGGCTGATCTCGAACTCCTGACCTCAGGTGATCTGCCTGCCTTGGCCTCCCAAAGTGCTGGGATTACAGGTGTGAGCACCCATGCCTGGCCAGCCTTTTATTTTTGAAGTAGTGGAGAACATTAGGTTTGCTACTGAGCTGTCACTGGCTTATAAGATCTGTTGGTGCAGTGGCTCACATCTGTAATCTCAGCAGTTTGGGAGGCTCAGGCAAGAGGATCGCTTGAGGCCAGGAGTTAGAGATCCACCTGGGAAACATAGCAAGACCCTGTCTCTATAAAAAATTTTAAAATTAGCTGGGTGTGGTGGCACACTCCTGTAGTCCCAGCTACTTGGGAGGCTGAGGCAGGAGGACCACTTCAACCCAGAAAGTTGAGGCTGTAGTGAGCAGTTCTAGCTCACCAGGTGACAGAGCAAGATGCTGTCTCTTAAAAAAAAATCTCATAAGCCCATTGGCGATAAGTGCTCTATAAATATAAAATATATTTTTTTCTTTTTGACTAGTAGATTTCTAATGTTTCTCTTTAACTTGTGTTAGGATTTTTGGGTTTTTTTGTAGGTTTTTTTATGGCAGATACTATATCTTTTTCATCTTTGCATTTCTAACACAGGTGCCTTACGAGTGTTAAGAACTCACCATATGTGGTCAAGTAAACAATCAAGGTAAAGAGCATCAAGTAAAAACTTCTGCTTGTTGATAAGTACTTCAGACACTCCCCCAGTAGCTAAAGTGGCATACGAATTATGAAGTTGAATCATTTGGAATGAATGTAAGAGAATTGTCAAGGTATTTGCTTTTTTTCAAGAATCTGTGCTTCCCACTTCATTGAGTGATGTTTTTATATCTTAGGTTTTGCAGCTTGGTTGGGCTAAGGATTTGAGAAAGAGTTTGTTTTCTCAAACTTGCACTGAACAAACAAACCTGCACTGTTGTACTGTGAAAAGAATGAAGAAAATTCTCAGTTGCTACCAGTTTGCCTGAATTGGCTTTTTTCCCTTCTTCTTTCCTTTCTTAGGGCTCCTCCTATTCCGGAGCGGGAACCTCATCCAGGGCCATGAAGCCGCTTCCTCACCATCTGTGTACTGCTTGATAAAGCTCATGCTGCAGGAACCATGGTTCCTTGGAAGGAATCAAGCTGACTCTTGGCATGAGATCCCTGCCTTCTTAGGGTTGAGAAGGGCACTACCATGGCTTCTCTGGACGACCCAGGGGAGGTGAGGGAGGGCTTCCTCTGCCCTCTATGCCTGAAGGATCTGCAGTCTTTCTATCAGCTTCATTCACATTACGAGGAAGAGCACTCAGGAGAAGACCGTGATGTCAAAGGGCAAATTAAAAGTAAGAAGCGAGGACCTTGCCTATCCCCTGCTGTCAGTGAGAGCTTTAACTCATGGGATAGTTCTTATCAGCTTCGGTGTTGCCACAGGAATATAATAATAGTAGTAGCAAACAGATGACTAGTGTTTGTCATGTGCCAGGCATTTTCAGAATCTCCCTGTTTATTAATTTCATTTAATCCTCACAATAACTTTGTGGCTGTGAGCCACATTTTGCTGATGAGGGCACACAGAGAGATTAGATAACATGTCTAAAGCCGCTCAGTGAAACACAGTCTGACTTTGAATCTAGTAAATGTAATCACTGTGATCTGGCTTGACAGTTCTCTGACCACCAGCCTAACAGGGTTTGGAGAGGAATTTCTTTCCTTTGCTATGATGGTGGAGGCACATTATACACCCATTTTACCTGTCACAGATTTAGGCCTTCACACCATCCTTCCTTCCCCAATTGGTATCTTGCCCACTATACCCCAGAAAAAGGAAGGTCATAGTTGAAGAACAAAGGGAAACAACCTGAAAACCTTGGTTTTTGAGCTTCCAAGAGCTCAGATGTGAGGGAGTTGTGGAAAGAATTCTTCAAAGGTACTTTTGACTATACATACATTTATTGTATTTCCTGGACTTCAAATTCTAACCTCCAAATAAGACGCTGCTCCTCTTGTGGGGCACAGTGGCTCACGCCTCTATTCGCAGCACTTTGGGAGGCCAAGGTGGGCAGATCACTTGAGCTCAGGAGTTCAAGACCAGCCTGGGCAACATGATGAAACCTATTCTCAAAAAAATTTTTTAAAAACTAGCCGGGCATGGAGGTGTGTGCCTGTAGTCCCAGGTACTGGAGGATTGGTTGAGCCCAAGGGGGTCAAGACTGTAGTGAATGGTGATTGTGCCACTGCACTTTTGCCGGGGTGAGAGAGAGAGAGAGAGAGAGAGAACACCTCGGGAGAGGTGAAGAGTTCAAGAACATCCTGGCCAACATGATGTAACCCCATCTCTATTAAAAATATAAAAATTAGCTGGGCGTGATGGCGCGTACCTGTAGTCCCAGCTACTCAGGAAGCTGAGGCAGGAGAATTGCTTGAACCTGGGAAGCAGAGGTTGCAAGTGACCTGAGATCACGCCACTGCACTCCAGCCTGGCGATAGAGCAAGACTCCATCTCAAAACAAACAAACAAAAAAAGAAGGTGATTGGTCTCATTTTATAGATAGTAAGTGAAGTGAGGCTCAAGAGATGTTGAGTTACTTATCCATGGTCACACAGGAATTGGCAGAGCTAGGCCTGGAATGTAGGTCTTCTGTTACCTCTTAAGTCCAGTGCTGCCCTTTGCACATGACATCGCTGAGGATGAGAGGCCCATGTTCCAATCACAGCATGCATTGCAGCTTCCTGGAGGAAATGAAGCAAAAACTAAACTAAACCTGATTATATAAGTTTCCTTTGGACAACCTAAGAGCCTCCATGGTTTTCAACCAGCTTCCAGTCTTGGTGTCAGCTGAACTAAGTCATTTCCAATGCCATTGCTAGAACTGGTGATACCAGTGGGTGCAGAGGTTAGAGACTCTTCTCAGATTCCTACAATGACTATTTTTTTAAGAGGAGAAATGTTTAAGGTTATTTGGACAATAGAGATATAGGAACTTATTTAAGGAATACTAAATAGAGTAGACATTTTGTGCCTTGTGAAAGAAACTTGAAAGGATCCTTGGCTGGGCACAGTGGCTCACACCTGTTATCCCAGCACTTTGGGAGGCCAAAGTGGGGAGGATCATTTCAGCCTAGGAGTTTGAGACCAGCCTGTGCAACATAGATCCTGTCTCTACAAGGGAAAAAATTTTAATTGGCTGGGCATGGTGGCATGCACTTGTAGTCCTAGCCACTTGGGAGGCTGAGGCATCAGGATCCCTTGAACCCAGGAGGTCGAGGCTGCAATGAAACATGATTATGACACTGCACGCCAGCCTGGACAACAGAGTGAAACCCTGACATAAAAACAAAAAAAAAAACAAAGTTACTTCAGCCGGTTGCAGGGGCTCACACCTGTAATACTAGTACTTTGAGAGGCCAAGGCAGAAGGATTGCTTGAGCCCAGGAGTTCAAGACCAGACTGGATAACATAGCGAGACCATCTCTACAAAAAAATTATTTTAAAAAATTAGCCAGTTGTAGTGGCATGCACTGGTAGTCCCAATTACTTGGGAGGCTGAGGTGTGAGGATCGCTTCAGCCCAGGAGATTAAGGCTGTCACATTCTATCCTGAGAGAGAGAGTGAAACTCTGTCTCAAAAAAAAGAAAGAAAAGATTCTCTTGGTTTTTCCCTTGATTTTCCACCCTGACCTACCTCTCATATCTCTACTTCTAATACTACTAATGATCATGTCTTTAGTTTGAAAGGAATGCTTGATTTTGTTGCAGTTTTCTACATTTCAGAATCAGCAAAGTAAATTTTTAAGGATTGACATGAAAGGGTTTTTGAAAAGCCCTTTTGAAAGCAGATCACCTCTTCATTTGGTCTTTTGGTTCTTAGAAATGTTATGACATGGCTAGTTTTAGGCAAGTGAAAAATTAAAGCTAAAAGAGTGAACCTTAGTATTGGATTTTGGGGGCAGTTCAAAAAAGAAAAAATAGATTAGTCATTAGTAAAAAGTTAGTGGGTTCAAGCCCTAGCCCTGGTTCAACTCCAGTTTAGCCCATTTTCAGTAAGTAGAAGAAAAGATAGCTGAAAATTGACTGTGGCTTCTTGCTTTGTTAGTATTTTTTTTAATGTATAGGATTATTCCTAATTGGCCTCTTCTGGAAGGGCTACATCCATTCTGGGAAGGTTGCCAGGCAGTTTTTCTGTCTCCTAAAGTGGTGAAATGGTATAGATTGCCTGTTTAATCTGATACTTTAGTCTCTTTTGCAAAACAGAATTGTTACTTGTTAACTCACATTCCTCTGTTATTAGAAAAGACTACTTTAGGCCAGGCATGGTGGCTCATGCCTGTACTCCCAGCACTTTGGGAGGCTAAGGCAGGCAGGCAGATCACCTGAGGCCAGGAGTTTGAGACCAGCCTGGCCAACGTGGTGAAACCCTGTCTCTACCAAAAAAAAAATACAAAAATCAGCTGGGTATAGTGGTACGTGCCCGTAATCCCAGCTACTCAGGAGGCTGAGGCAGGAGCATCCCTTGAACCCCCAGGAGGCGGAGGTTGCAGTAAGCCGAGATTGCTGCCGTTGCACTCCAGGCTGGGCAACGAGAGTAAAACTCCATCTCAAAAAAGAAAGAAAAGACAAAGACTACTTCAGTGGATTTTAAAGGATGCACTTTTGTTTTGGTATTTTTCCAGTTTGGAAAAAGATGTCCCAGAGTGACCAATAACCAGGAAGTTTTCTTATTGGCCTGACTGTCTTAAAAAAAGACAAGCATATTCTTACTAATGTTATCCTCTGCCTGCCAGCCTGGGCAACATATTGAGACCCCCATCTCTACAAAAAAAAATTTTTTTTAATTACCTAGCCTTGATGGTGCATACGTGTAGTTCCAGCTACTTGGAAGACTGAGGTGAGAGGCTTGCTTGAGCCCAAGAGATCGAGGTGCAGTGAGCTATGATTACACTACTGCACTCCAGCCTGGGTGACAGTACGAGACCCTGTCTCTAAAAAATTAATAAAATGTAAAAGCAATGATATCATTTAATATTCAGTCTGAGAGTTTCTAGTAGATTCTGGTGGAAGAAAGGGATAGCAGTCATCCAAGATTAAAGAACATTCGTAAGAGAGCAGCTTAGAACTGAGAATTCTGTTTTTCCCCATTCAGCTGATTGTTCAGTTTAACAGGTGGTTCCCTTCCCCAGCACAGGTGGCAGAACCCATGTTCTGCAGAGGCATAGTTTGTGAATCAGCACTAGCTGGGGAGAGCTGGAGCTCTCATTTCAGACGAAGTGTCTACTTCCTGCCCTGCTGTTACCTATAAGCTCTATGATCTTGGACGAAGCAAGTTGTTCCCCCATCTTTGATGTCATTTCCTAATTTGTAAGTAGGGCTATTACCTGCCTTATAACATTGTGATCATGAACTGGCATAATGTATTTGCAAGCACTTTGCATTGTGCCTGGTGTATCCAAGGACTAAATACAGGAAATGTTCATTTTCTCTTCTTACTAAATCTGGTTCCATTTGTGTTATGTTGTAGATGTTATATCTCTTTCTTGAAGCTTTTTGCAAATATTCTTACATGGATTCAGTAAGCGGGTGGGCAGTAGTGGGGAAGGAAGAACTCTGTGTCCAGTTAAGCCTTATGGGGAACACCAGTCCAGCGATGGAGGTTTAGCTGAATCCCATCCTGGAGGTAAATGAGAAAAATTTACTCATGAGTTCCTGGGGTAAATAAATTAGTACTATAGAACTTAGTTTTTAAAAAACTAGGCCAGGCTCGGTGGCTCACACTTGTAATCCCAGCACTTTGGGAGGCTGAGGCAGGTGGATCACCTGAGGTTGGGAGTTGGAGACCAGCCTGACCAACGTGGAGAAACCCCTTTCCTACTAAAAATACAAAAAAGTTAGCTGGGTATGGTGGTGGGGGCTTGTAGCCCCAGCTATTCAGGAGGCTGAAAGAGGAGAATCACTTGAACCTGGGAGGTGGAGGTTGCAGTGAGCCAAGATTGTGCCATAGTACTCCAGCCTGGGTGGCAGAGCAAGACTCCATCTCAAAACAACAACAAAAAAACCCACTATTTTAACTGAGGTATAGTTTTCAAATATACACTTTAATTTTTTTTTTTTTTTTTTTTTTTGAGACAGGGTCTCATTCTGGTTGCCCAGCCTGCAGTGCAGTAGCATAGTCTCAGCTCACTGCAGCCTCGACCTCCTGGGCTCAGGTGATTCTCCCACCTCAGCCTCCCAAGTAGCTGGAACTACAGGTGTGTGCCACCACACCCAGCTAGAATTTTGCATTTTTAGTAGAGATGGAGTATTGTCAAGTTGTCAAGGCTGGCTTGAATCCCTGGACTCAAGCAATTTCCCTCCTTTGGCCTTTCAAAGTACTGGGATTATGGGTGTAAGCCACTACGCCTGGCCCAATTCAGTAAGTTTTGAAAAATATATATATCCGCTTAACCACTCCAATTAAGATAAAGAAGAAAAGACTTCCATCACTCTGTTTCCCTCATCAAATTTTATTTTAAAACTTTTTAAAATTGTGCTCTTAAAATTTGGCAGTGAGCAGTAATTTAGCCCATATGTTGGCCACCTAAACCAACTAATGTTGACTGACCAGTGTATTGCTCTGTGGTATTTGTAATATAGTGTTTGTGTGCTTGTTCTTGCATTTTACTTGGGATCTAAATATTTCTGGTGCATTTTTAAACAAATGATAATTATTTCGTCAACTCTTGTTTTTTGAGATTTCCCTTGACTCTAATGGGTGTTCTTCATGATTCATTTGTATCGTTTGTTCCATTTTTCAAGGTCTTGTCCAGAAGGCTAAGAAAGCAAAGGACAAGTTGTTGAAACGAGAAGGGGATGATCGAGCAGAATCAGGGACCCAAGGATATGAGTCTTTCAGCTATGGAGGGGTTGATCCTTACATGTGGGAACCCCAGGAGCTTGGTAAGAAATTTCATTTATTCATTCAGCAAGTGGTTATTGAGCATCTACTGTGTTCTTGGTAAAGTTTTAAGAGTTGGCTGAGGAGGCATCAGTAAACCATAATGGTCTAAGCTTCTCATGGACCTTATGCCCTTGTTGGGGGGAGAAAATGGAAGAGCTGAGCATCCACTTTGTGTTAGGCACTACATTAAGTGCTTTATATCCATGGCCTTGTTAAATCTTCACTGCACCTCATGAGAACCTGCCCAGGGACAAACAGCGAGTAAACTGCAGAAATGGGGTATGAATCCATATCTCTCTGATGTTAGCCCAGGCACAGATTCCATTAATAAGTCTGTTTCCTCTTACATAGGATATTACCTGCCCAGTGACAGGCACTGTTTTATGCAGCTTGCTTTTTTGAATCGTTATGGTACCATCTACCTACTTTCATGTTTTTGGGTTGGTGAAAATTCTCTAAAATTTATTATGATGATTGTACAATTCTGAAAATACTAAAAAACCACTGAAATTTTGCTTTAAATGGTATATGTATGTGAATTATATCTCACTAAAGCTATTTATCATGCCACACACACTTAGTTGAACTATCTAATCTTACATATCTGTTTTTTTGTTGTTGTTGTTTTTTTGTTTTTTTTTTGAGAGAGAGAGTCTCACTCTGTTGCCCAGGCTGGAGTTCAGGGCTCCATCATGGCTCACTGCATTCCAGGCTGAAGTGATCCTCTCACTTCAGCCTCCTGAGTAGCTGAGACTACTTGTGCACATCATCCCACCTGGCTAATTTTTGTATTTTTTGTAGAAACAGAGTCCTACTATGTTGTCCAGGCTAGTCTCAAACTTCTGGGCTCAAGTGATCCTCCCATCTCAGCCTCCCTGAGTGCTGGGATTATAGGCGTGAGCCACTATGCCTGGCTATATATCCTTTAACTGTCTAATGATAATAGTCATTAATATAATAAAATATTTTCTGTCCATGAAATGGGTAATAATTCCTTTATAATGATTTATTAAATTTTCATGTTTATTATCTTGTTCACCTTTCACAAAAGTCTTGTGGAGTAGTGGTCCTTATTCCCATTTATAGATACGGAAACTTGGGCTCTAAGAAGGAAATTGATATTTACCCAGGCTCATCTACTGTATCCCTATAGTGCCATTACAGAAGGTGTCTCTTTGAATAAGGAAAGTCCAGCAACTGTGCTGTTTTTTCAATAGCCACCAGTCATGGGCTATTTAAGTTTAAATAAATTAAAATGAAATAAAATTAAAAGTCACTCCCTGAACTACACACTAGCCACATTTTAAGTGCTCTGTGTCCACTTGGGCTATTTGCTACTGTATTGGAGAATTGAAACATTTTTATTATTGCAGGAGAAAATTGCTTTAAAAATAATACTAGGCCGGGTGCGGTGGCTCAAGCCTGTAATCCCAGCACTTTGGGAGGCCGAGGCGGGTGGATCACGAGGTCAAGAGATCGAGACCATCCTGGTCAACATGGTGAAACCCCGTCTCTACTAAAAATACAAAAAATTAGCTGTGCATGGTGGTGTGTGCCTGTAGTCCCAGCTACTCGGGAGGCTGAGGCAGGAGAATTGCTTGAACCCAGGAGGTGGAGGTTGCGGTGAGCCGAGATCGCGCCATTGCACTCCAGCCTGGGTAACATGAGTGAAACTCCGTCTCAAAAAAAAAAAACAAAAAAAAAAACTATACATATGTAATTATGAGATATATATGAAAGCCAATTCAAAACATGAAGGAGAAATTTTGGATATATGAATTCTTGTTAGCTTTGTTTCATGATTGCCAGTGTGAAATTCCTAGGGTGTTTTTCTGATTAAGTTGCCAGTGGCAGCAACTGAAGATAGTCACAAATTGTAGAAGGTCAAGTGAATGGCAAATTTTATAAGTTAATATTTATTTGTGATAGCTTGTTTCATGATTGCCAATGTGAGATTACTAGGGTGATTTTCTGATTAAGTTGCCAATTGCAGCAACCAAAGATAGTCACAAACTGTAGAAGGTCAAGTGAATGGCAAATTTTAGCAGTTAACATTTATGGTCACCCTTAAGAATTCTAAACTGAAGTTTAATTAGATGTTAGAGTTTGCTTAGGGAAGAACAGACATGTGGATGGTTAAGAGTGGCATGTGTGGGCCTGGGTGTGGTGGCTCACCTTTAATCTCAGTACTTTGGCAGGCCAAGGCAGGTGGATCACATGAGACTAGGAGTTTGAGATCAGTTTGGCCAATGTGGTGAGACCCTGTCTGTACTAAAAATACAAAAATTAGCCGGGCAGGGTGGCACATATGTGTAATCCAAGTTACTTGGGAGGCTGAGGCATGATAATCACTTGAACCCAGGAGGCAGAGATTGTTGTGAGCCGAGAGATTGCACTACTGCACTCCAGCGACAGAGCAAGACTCTGTTAAATAAATAAATAAATAAATAGTGTATAGCATGTGGAGATGCTGATCAAAGGATACAAAATTTCAGTCAGGTGGAATAAGTCAAGAGATCTATTGTTAAAGGGGTGATTTATAGTTTTTTGTTTGTTTTTCTGAGACAGAGTCTTCCTCTGTCACCCAGGCTGGAGCACATTGCTGCGATCTTGGCTCACTGCTGCAATCTTGGCTCACTGCAACTTCTGCCTCTGGGTTCAATTCTTGTGCCTCAGCCTCCTGAGTAGCTGGGACCACAGGTGCGTACCACCACGCCTGGCTAATTTTTGTATTTTTAGTAGAGATGGGGCTTCACTGTATTGGTCAGGCTGGTCTCAGAACTCCTGGCCTCAAGTGATCCATGCTCCTCGGCCTCCAAAAGTGCTGGGATTACAGGTGTGAGTCACCATGCCCAGCCTGATTATAGTTAATAAAAATATCTTGTGGGCTGGGTGCGGTGGCTCACACCTATAATCTCAGCACTTTGGGAGGCCAACGTGGGTGGATCACGAGGTCAAGAGATTGAGACCATCGTGGCCAACATGGTGAAACCCTTGTCTCTACTAAAAATATAAAAATTAGCTGGGCATGGTGGCACATGCCTGTAGTCCCAGCTACTCGGGAGGCTGAGGCAGGAGAATTGCTTGAACCTGGGAGGCAGAGGTTGCAGTGAGCCAATATCACACCACTGCACTCCAGCCTGGTGACAGAGCGAGACTCGTCTCAAAAAAAAAAAAAATCTTGTATTCTTAAAAATCAGTGAGAGTAGATTTTGTGTTGTCACCACAAAAAGTGATAAGTATATGATGTAATGCATATGTTAATTAGCTAGTTTAGCCATTCACTAGTGTATAAGTATTTCAAAAAATCATGTTGTACATGGTGAATATATGCAATTTTTATTTGGCAGTTAAAATTTTTTTTTAAAAGCATGGCATGTGACAAAATCTGTTATAGTACAATCTATAAATGAATAGGGGATCACTGGGATGAGGATGTGCACTGAGTGCCGGGATGTTTGAGGGCAATATGTTTCTGGATCAGGTGAGACTGAGCTGGAAATATTTCAGGTATTCTCAGACAGTAAGCTGTTGGGTTCTATTTGTGTTGCAGATGTTTGTCCCAGTTCTTGGCTGCTGGACTGAGGAAAGTATCAGCTTAACTAGCTCCCACAAGGGAATCTATCATTTTTTTGGCCATTTTGAGAATTGTCTTTATCCTTAGGAAAAGCCATCTTGTATCAGATTTACAAAGTATAAAACAATAAGAGAATTCAAAAATTTTTAAATTGCCCATGATGTTATCACCCTGTTTATTTAACATTAGCATGAGAGTCAGGTAAGACTTTATAAATTTTAACTTATTTAACCATCGTAACAACTCTCTGAAGTAGATACCATTATTACTATATTTGACAGCTCAAGTACTCTTGAGTTACAGAGAAGTTAAGTAACTTGTCTAAGGTTACGCAGTGTGTGGCAGAATTGAAACTTGAGCACAGGCCGACTCCAGTGTATATGCTGTTATCTACTATATTCTAAAGTCTCTCATATGGTATTTGGTGGCCTAAAGGTCATGGTTAACATTTTAGCAGATTTTCCTCCATTTGCTATCCTGGCTTTTGAATTTTTGGTAAGACTATAAAATCTTTGAGTTTTTACTTGCTTTTGAATTTTTTTTTTTTTTTTTTTTTTTTGCCTGAGATTGGTCTCACTCTGTCACCCAGGCTGGAGTACACTGGTGGTATCATAGCTCACTGAAGCCTCCAACTCCTGGGCTCAAGCCATCTTCCTGCATTGGCCTCATGAGGAGCTGGGATTTTAGGCGTATGTGCCCACGCCTGGCTAATTTTTTTATTTTTTTGAGTGAGACAGGGTCTCACTATGTTGACCAGCCTGCTTTTGAAATTCATTGAGGATAAGCGGCAAGGTAGAGAGGCTTCCCTCAGAGAAATTGTAAGTCATTTGTCTCCCCACTTCCTTCCTTCTAGGTGCTGTGAGAAGCCATCTTTCTGAATTCAAAAAACACCGAGCTGCTAGAATTGACCACTATGTTGTGGAAGTCAATAAATTAATAATCAGGTTAGAGAAGGTAAATTTTGTAGTCTTAAAACATTTTTTTCTAAAAATACACATTTTCTGGGGAAAAATAATCACATTTCTATAGCATGTGTTGTAGATGTCATATACATCTGATGCTGCCAGAGGAACCCTTTCTCTAGAGAGGTGCAGAGGACCTGGTGGACAGTTCTAGCCTGGGCCAGCTTTCCTTAAGAGAATGACCCAGGCTAACAGACTTGCCAGATGCTCAGTTTCCCTTTCACCACCTATAAATCCCACTCAGATGCTGGAAAACCTTTCTTCCTTCAGATTCTTCTTTTGGGTGTCCTGGGCACAATCACCTAGTGAAGTATGGGGTGTGATCGCAAACAAAGGAGTGACCAGGTCTCACTGGTGTTTTTTGATCCTAGATGTGCTTGTTGTGTATAACCTGGATTTTGAGCTGGGCATAATAGCAACCACAAGTACAGTTCTTTATGTGTACTTTGTAAGGCAGAAATAAGTGGCCAGTTTTAGGGTCCAGGAACACTGTGGAGAATGGAGAGTTTTCCATTGCTTTCAATTGCTGCCCCTACCCATCCTTGCCTAGCCCTGGTTATTGCTAAAATGGGTAACTGACAATGAAGAGATTAGAAGTGGATCACAGGAAGGGAGGTGGCTTCTAGATGTAAAACTAATATTCTGTCCCACGTGAAATTGCTTTTGTGATTTCGTGGAGTTGGGGATGACAGATGAGACTTGAGAAATCCAAATGTGCTAATTCCTACTCGATGTATTGGAAAGTTTGGAGCATGTATACATCACCTGGTTAATTTCACTTGGCACTATTTTCTCCTGGTCAGCTCACTGCATTTGACAGAACAAATACTGAGTCTGCAAAGATTAGAGGTAACTTTAAAACTTTGCTCACATTCTTCTTATCCTTTATCTTTTTTCCCTGACCAAATCTCTCTTTAAAATGGCTTTTTTGTTGGTTTGCTCTTCCCAAAGCGATAGAAAAGTCTGTGGTGCCTTGGGTCAACGACCAGGATGTCCCTTTCTGTCCAGACTGTGGGAATAAGTTCAGCATCCGGAACCGCCGCCACCATTGTCGCCTCTGTGGGTCTATTATGTGCAAGAAGTGTATGGAGCTCATCAGCCTTCCCTTGGCAAGTAGGTGACCTGGAGGTGGGGCCCTGGACCCTCATCTTCTTTTGGTCCTAGCTTATTTGCTAATCACCACTGGGACCGTGGAACCTTTTTGTTAAATTAATGGTTCATTGGAATCTTCATTCATTCAATTGTTGATTCTGTGAAGCCCACTACAGGCTAGGTACTATGCTAGGGGCCTGAGATAGAGTGGTCTATAACAGGGGTTGGCAAACTTTGTAAACGATCAGATAGTAAATAAATTTAGGCTTTGTGAGCCACGTATGGTTTCTGTGACATTTCTTCTTTCTTTAAACTCCCTTTTAAAAATGTGAACATTAGACTGGGCACAGTGGCTCATGCCTGTAATCACAGCACTTTGGGAGGTTGAGGCAGGTGGATCACTTGAGGTTAGGAGTTCAAGACCAGCCTAGCCCACATGGTGAAACCCTGTCTCTATAAAAATACAAAAATCAGGCTCAGCACGGTGGCTCATGTGTGCAATCCCAGCACTTTGGGAGAGGCCAAGGCAGGCGAATCACCTGAGGTCAGGAGTTTGAGATCAGCCTCACCAACATGGAGAAACCCTTTCTCTACTGAAAATACAAAATTAGCCAGGCGTGGTGGCGCATGCCTGTAATCCCAGCTACTTGAGAGCCTGAGGCAGGAGAATCACTTGAACCCAGGAGGCAGAAGTTGCAGTGAGGCGAGATCACAACCTGGGCAACAAAAGTGAAACTTCATCTCAAAAAAAAAAAAACAAAAACAAAACCAATAATTATCCAGGCCTGGTAGCATGCACCTGTAGCCCCAGCTACTCGGGAGGCTGAGGCAAGAGAATTGCTTGAACTCAGGAGGCAGAGGCTGCAGTGAGTTGAGATTGAGCCACTGCACTCCAGCCTGGGTGACTGAGCGAGACTCCCATCTCAGAATAGAAGAGAAATTATATTTAATTTGAGAGCCATATAGAAACAACCTGCAGGCTGGATTTGCCTCACAGGTCTTCTTTTGCCCATTTCTGGCCTATAAGGCATTGTCCATTCTTCCAAGACGTCCAGCATCTAGCAGTGGATACAAACTCACAAATAAATAATTGCTTTCTAAGGAGAGATGTACTATGAAAGAGATTGTGTCAGGCACTCAGGAGAGGCTGACCAACTGTTTGTCAGCTCTGCTTGGAAGTGGCAGGTGTGACTTTGAGAAGAGGGTCTTAATACAAGCAGTGGACTAGTCCCTCCCTGTAGGATAAGTCACAGACAACTCGCTGTCATATAGAAAAGACTAATACCATAATATGAGAGATGCTGAGTGCCGTAGGCTCTGGGACAATGAGAGCATGGATACTTAGGGCTGGGAAGTGATAGGCGAGAAGAACCTTGAAAGATGTGTAGGATTGCAAAAGAGATGGAGAAGGAAGGCATTTTAGGTAGAGTGAAGAGCAGGAGCAAAGGCATGGAATTCTGAAAAGCCCAGGGTAGATTAATAGATGAGCAAATAAAATAGTTGGGGGGTGTGTGGAGGACAAAGTTTAGGTGGAACTCTATCTTCTAGGACTTTGCAACCAAAGTTGCTGAAGATGATCTCATTGGCTTCTGGGAAGTTTGGGGTACATTTGCAACACTAGAGAGTTCTGCTGGCTGTGCATTCTGGTGGCCATGGGGTGTCTGGATAACATGGGGACTAAAACAGATGCTTCTGTCCAACTCTCACATACACCAGTCACTTTACCTTGATACTTTCTCCCTGAGACCAATTCCCTGTCTCACATGACTTTATAAGCTGCCTTTTTGGGACACTATTCACCTTTCTTCCCTTGAGCCCTTTAGCCAGCATTTACTGGGCAGCTGCTGTGGGGTGGCCCTGCTGGATATGTTAAGGGTGCAAGTGTGAATAAGACACAGTTTGTACCCACAAAGAGTCATGGTTTCCTAGGGCAGCTCCGGGGTGTATATGTAACTGTACACAGGGAGAAAAGTGGAAAGTGCTCTAAAGGGGCAACGTAGTGGGAGCTGATGGGAAGGATGGATAGTTTTTGCCTCAGGGAATTGGAGAAGGCTTTCCTGGAGTACCTGCCATTTAGAGAGGGTAGGAGCCAGATGCTTGGGAATAGGGAGAAGGCTGTGGAGGAAAGTCTCCCAGGGGAATGTATGTTGTGTTGGAGGCACAGGGCAAATGGAAGAGGGTGTCAGGTGGAAAGGCCAGGTTGTTTGGATTTGGAGGGGCAGCAGTGTGTCCTTTCCCGCCAGAGTCTGACACTGGGAAGGCAGAGGGGCAGTACGTGCCCACAGCTGGAGACTGATATTATTACTCTCCAAGTCAAACACCTGTGGACTGACACCTCAAGTTCTGGGGTATGGTAATTGGATGCTGTGGGGGTCAGTGCTGCCTGTTGGTGTTGTGGTTACAGACAAGCTCACCAGTGCCAGCAAGGAGTCCCTGAGCACCCACACCAGCCCCAGCCAGTCACCCAACAGTGTCCATGGCTCCCGCCGAGGCAGCATCAGCAGCATGAGCAGTGTCAGCTCGGTCCTGGATGAGAAGGACGATGACCGGATTCGCTGTTGTACACATTGCAAGGACACGCTGCTCAAGAGAGAGCAGCAGATTGATGAGAAGGAACACACACCTGACATCGTGAAGCTCTACGAGGTGATATGCACTGTCTGGTCTTGGGTCTGATTTCTCAGGCAGATTCGGCTCTTTGTTACATACACTCCTGCATATTCTGGAGAACAGTTTGGGAAGTTGTTCCTTTGAATCATTTGTAGTTCCTGCTAAAGGACCATGTTATGATTTCCCAGCTAGGGCCCTGTGTGAGTCACAGAGTCATCCTGGGTGTGTTACAACAAACTCATTCCCTCACCCTTCCTTGGCCACTTGAAAGCAGGAGGGTGGAGGCTTTGGTGGCCCAGAGGCAAGAGGAGGAAGGGCAGTTGCCATGTGGTGTGGACAGGTTCTGTGGGGAGGGGAGAATCTAGAGATGTTCATAAACAGTGGGCCGGAAGAATCCTGGGAAACTCACTTGGGAGTGTTAGACTTTACAAGTTTTCGAAAGTTTTACAAGTTTTTAGGCTTTATCATTTTACTGAAACTTTACAAGTTTCCAGGCTTTACCAGTTTACCAAGTGTCCCCCTCTTAAGTTTGTCCAAATGCCTCAGCTGTCATTACCACCAGTGATCCCACAATCCCCCTACTAGATGCATACTCTGAGAAGAAATAATGTACAAAGAATATCTGGGAGTGAGACTGGCTTGGTCCCTTAATAGCCAGGTGAGACCTGTGAGCTGAGGAAGACTAGCCAGGTGAGCGGAGTGGGGAGGCAGTAAGAGATGCAGGGAAGAGATCAGCCCAGTCAGAGGAAGCAGCTGTGCAACATTCTGAACAGAGGAAGAGTATATTTTTGTCTGATGACTACTGAATAGTCATTGTTAGCAGTTCTGCAGATCATAATGGCAGTGTTTCTGGAATCCCCATGTAAATACTCAGGCTACTAGAAATGGTGTTAATTAAGCCCCATATTGAGTTGCAGATGAAGCTATTCTCCATCCTTTGTGTGGAGTTCAAGACCTGGTATCTCATTTCTTTGAATACCCACTGTGCTTTTGCCACCTCCTCTTTTGAAGTGAACACTGGCAGTGCCTTGTGCTGGTTTCCCATTGTTGCCTGGCATCACTTGGCAGAGGAAGAAAGTAGCAACTATTTCCTTTTTGTCTTGGTAGACACCTTGGCTTGTACCCTAGAAGGCCTCGCTCCTCTCGAAAACGTCTGGCTGGACGCGGTGGGTCACTCCTGTAATCCCAGCACTTTGGGAGGTCGAGGCAGGTGGATCACTTGAGGCCTGGAGTTCCAGACCAGCCTGGCCAACATGGCAAAACCTCATCTCTACTGAAAATATAAAAATTAGCCGGGCATGGTGGCAGCGTGCCTGTAATTACAGCTACTCAGGAGGCTGAGGCATGAGAATCACTTGAGCCCAGGAGGTAGAGGTTGCAGTGAGCAGAGATCGTGCCATTGTACTCCAGCCTGGGTGACAGAACAAAACGTCTGGTCAGAAGCTCCATTGTCACTTTCCTTCCTTCCTGTAAGATTTTCTGCTTGGAAACTAGGCCTTTAAATCAGAAAATTGATAGCAACGGTATATTAGAAAAGTAAACAATTTAAATATATCTCCATTGACGGAGCCTAGCTTCTGGGTAGGCTTTTCTAATCTTGAGCATACCATTTACCTCTTTGTTTTTGTTCTTAGAAATTACGACTCTGCATGGAGAAAGTAGACCAGAAAGCTCCAGAATACATCAAGATGGCAGCATCATTAAAGTAAGCTATTCCTCTATGTTTTTCTAATCCAGTGGTGAGTGTTTTCTGGCATTTTAGGTAAATTATCCAGTAGCCAAAAATGAAAATCTTAATTTAACTGTGCTTTTTTTTTCTGAGACCAGCTGAGGTTGGGTTTTTTCCACTTTTGGCTGTTATGAAGAGAATCATCTTCATGTCTGTCTTTTAGTGGGGTACATATTACCATCACATGAGCTTATGAAAAGATAGCCACATTCACCTTGGCTGTTCCAACTAAGCAGGTTTGGGAAGGCCTCAGACAATACTGTTGCTGAATGCAGCATCTGGTCGGAGCAGAGGAAGGGCAGTGGGTCTCATGCTTATGCCTGGGTAGATGCCATTTCAGTGTCACATTGAGGTGTCAGGGCTTAAAGCAGGCATTTCCCTTAGAGCAGTGGCTGGCAGACTGCAGCCCATGGGCCAAATGTAGCTTGACATCTGCTTCTTTTTAAAAATATAGATGTAGTTCACACACCATAAACATTACTCTTTTAAAGTGTACAATTCGGTGGTTTTTAGTGTATTCACAAAATTATGCGACCATTACCACTGTCTTAATTCTAAACATTTTCATCACTCCAATAGGAAACCCCATACCCATTAGCAGCCACTGTCCTTTCCCCATCTCCCTGGCCAACACTAATCTACTTCCTGTCTCTATGGATGTGTCTGTTTTTTGACATTTCATGTAAATGGAATCATAATATAAAATTTCTCTGACTTCTTTCACACAGTGTAATGTTTTAAAGATTCATCCATGTTGTTGCATATATCAGTACTTCATTCCATCTGTATGAATGCATTGTGTGGATACTTACCACATTTTATTTATCCATCAGTTGATGAACATTTGGGTTTTTTTGCCACTTTTGGCTGTTATGAATAATGCTCCTGTAATATTTGTATACAAGTTTTTATGTTCTTTGTGTGGACATGTTTTCATTACTCTTAGGTAGGTACCAAGGAATTGCTGGGTTTTATGGTAACTGTATGTTACCATAGAGTAACATTCTGTAGAGGAATTGCTAAATCGTTTTCTAGAATGACTGCACCATTTTGCATTCCCACCAGCAGTGTATGAGGGTTTTACTTTTTTTTTTTTTTTTTTAGCAGAATTCTTTCTGCCTCGAGAGGGTTTTACTTTCTTTATAGCCTTACCAACGCTAGTTATTGCTACCTGTTTGCATAAAGTTTTATTGGAACATAGCCATGCCCATGTTTGATTACTGTTTGTAGCTGCTTTTGCATCACCATGACAGAATAGCAGCAAAAGAGACTGTGTGGCCTGCAAAGCTAAAAACATTTATGATTCAGCCCCTCATGGAAAAAATTTGCTGATCCCTGCTTAAGAGCATGGCTTTTTCTGAAGCTTAGTGTTTGTGACCTAGAAATTGAAGTGCTGCCGGGCGCGGTGGCTCAAGCCTGTAATCCCAGCACTTTGGGAGGCTGAGGCGGGTGGATCCCGAGGTCAAGAGATCGAGACCGTCCTGGTCAACATGGTGAAACCCCGTCTCTACTAAAACTACGAAAAATTAGCTGGGCATGGTGGCGCGTGCCTGTAATCCCAGCTACTCAGGAGGCTGAGGCAGGAGAATTGCCTGAACCCAGGAGGCGGAGGTTGCGGTGAGCCGAGATCGCGCCATTGCACTCCAGCCTGGGTAACAAGAGTGAAACTCCGTCTCAAAAAAAAAAAAAAAAAAAAAAAAGAAATTGAAGTGCTAACTACTAGATTCAGATCCCAGCAGTGTTTTTCCAACCTGTAGGAAAAGAATAATTATGGTCTCCAGTGTTATTAATTTCAGAGTTTTCTGTCTTTGTCTTAAACCTGTGTTGCCGGCCGGGCATGGTGGCTCACGCCTGTAATACCAGCACTTTGGGAGGCCCACGCTGGTGGATCACGAGGCCAAGAGATTGAGACCATGCTGGCCAACATGGTGAAACCCCATCTCTACTAAAATTACAAAAAATTAGCCAGGTGGGGTGATGCGTGCCTGCAGTCCCAGCTTCTTGGGAGGCTGAGGCAGTAGAATTGCTTAAAACCAGAAAACAGAAGTTGCAGTGAGCTGGGATGGCGCCACTGCACTCCAGCCTGGCGATACAGCGGGACTCCGTCTCAAAGAAAAACAAAAAAACCTTTGTTGCCTACCTGTACATCGAAAGCGATGCATGTATCAGTAGATGTGCCTTGTTTAAAACAAAACCGTGTGTGTGTGTTTACACACACACACATTTTTTGAGACAGAGTTTTGTTCTGTCGCCCAGACTGTAATGCAGGGGTGCAACCTCAGCTCACTGCAACCTCCACCTCCCAGTTCAGGCGATTCTCCTGCCTCAGTCTCCTGAGTAGCTGGGATTACAGGTGCCCACCACGATGCCTGGCTAATTTTTGTATTTTTAGTAGAGACAGGGTTTCATCATGTTGGCCAGGCTAGTCTCGAACCTTCTGGGGAACTTTTGAGCCAGGAAAGCCAAGTCGCTTTCTGCTCTTAATGTAGTATAATCAACTCATTTAGTAAACCACTTCTTGCATCTTGTTAGATGTAGTGCGATTGTTTAGGGAAAGTAGGCCAGAGTAAATTGAGCCACATTTGTTTCAGTGATGAGCATAAGGGCTAGTCCTTGGAGGCCTCAGTATGAGTCTGCCCCTATAGTATCTGCAAATTGAAATGTCACTTCCACTTGATTCATTCATTTCAAGCGATGGACAGTGCATTATATCCGAAAGTCTGAAATGCCACTTTTAGAGAATTAACTGCCTTTGTGAGGCCTTACACCTTTAGCATCCTTCTACACTATGCTGTCCGATTTGCACCATGAAACTTAGATCACTTGTCTCTGTGGTTTCTCCTTAGTGCTGGGGAGACAACCTACAGTCTGGAACATGCCAGTGATCTTCGAGTGGAAGTGCAGAAAGTGTATGAGCTAATAGATGCTTTAAGGTAAGGTCCATTAAGTGGTATCCTGCCCGCTGGTGGAATGGAGAAGATGCTGTTCTAATGAAATGATGGCGAAAGCAGACCTGCACTCACCCAGAGTTCTGGTGATGGGGCAGTGGGTGAGGAGGAGGTCAAGGAAGTGGCCAGCTCTAGCACTTAATGCATCTCAGTGACTTTTGTTTCATTAAGGATTTCTAATGTTTCTTATTATTTTTTTTTTTTATTTTTTATTTTTTATTTTTTTTGAGACGGAGTTTCGCTCTTGTTACCCAGGCTGGAGTGCAATGGCGCGATCTCGGCTCACCGCAACCTCCGCCTCCTGGGTTCAGGCAATTCTCCTGCCTCAGCCTCCTGAGTAGCTGGGATTACAGGCACGTGCCACCATGCCCAGCTAATTTTTTGTATTTTTAGTAGAGACAGGGTTTCACCATGTTGACCAGGATGGTCTCGATCTCTTGACCTCGTGATCCACCCGCCTCTGCCTCCCAAAGTGCTGGGATTACAGGCTTGAGCCACCGCGCCCGGCCATGTTTCTTATTATTAAAGAAAGAAGAGCTGGTTATTGATACCTATCAAGTGCCGGTCACTGGTTGTTTTCTCTAGAATGGTTCATTTATTCTGTCGAAGTTACTCTGTGAGGTAGGGATTAACATCCTGTGTCATCGATGAGGAATCATGTCACAGATAGCAAAAGTTGTAGAGTGAAGGTAGAAACTCAGGTTCTTTCTTTGTGTCTGTGCTCAAGTTGGCCATTCAAGTTAAATTAGCCCTTTGAGGTATGAGAAGTATAGCAACTCAGAGGGAGAATGAGATGAGGTGCCTTTGTCCATCCAGACGTACAGCACAGGCTACATTGTTTGCAGGGCCTGGCACAAAATGAAAATGCATGTCCCTTGTTCAAAAATTATTAAGAATAAAGACACTAACAACAGAGCATTAAACCAAGCACAAGGCCCTTTAAGTGCCAGACCTTGTGCAGCTGCCTAGATCGCTCACCTGTGAAGCTGGCTCTGCACACGTAGTCAGTCCCTCCACGACAGTGTTTGTTATGCACCCTGTGCTGGGGCCTTAGTACAGCAAAGGGTAAGAAATGGGTTTTGCCTTCAAGGAAACTCAGTGGAGTCATTTACCCATCTTTACACACCTTCCTTGCATGAAAGCCCGGCAACTCCTGATGTTACACTTTTTGCCCTTGTTTCTGAAGCTGGCAGTGCTCATTACATTCATGTATTTGTTCCAATTCAGTAAGAAGATCTTAACCTTAGGCTTGAACCAGGACCCTCCACCACATCCAAGCAATTTGCGGCTGCAGAGAATGATCAGATACTCAGCAACACTTTTTGTGCAGGTAAAGCCATCCTGGGTTGGCATAAATGTTGTGCTTGGCCTGTCCTGTTCTTTTCCTTCCCAGAAGGCAGATCCATGCAATGACTTATTTACTTCCTATTTATAGATTTATTATTTTTTGAAATTATGAAAGCATGATGCCACATTTAGAGAAAAATCTGAATTTCAGAGAAAACTAAAACTACTTTTAATCCTTTGTCCCCATTACAATCACTCATTATTCTGGTATGTTTTTACCTTTTTTCCCATTTGCATTTTTTATATACAGTAGTTACAATAATGCATATTGACTGTATATGCCATTCTTTAACTATTTTCCTTTAGTTGGGCATTTGATAGACTCTAATTTTTTGCTGCTGTTAAGTGTTGTCAGGATTGTAATACTGGTAGTTAGTATTTCTTCCTTAGGATAATCTTCTACAGGACTCTTCCTGAGCCATCAGCTGGGAAGAAACAGCCGATTAAGGGCAGACTAACCTAGGTGGTTAGATCTGAATTGTATCTTTCTACCCCTGAAAGCCCCTTCTGAAAGAGTTATAGTTAACTGCCTTTGGGGTTCCCTGACAAAGAAGTCTATTTTTTTTTTTAATTAAAACAAAGTTTTTTTTTCTTTTATTAAATAGAGATAGGGTTTTACCACATTGCCCAGGCTGGTCTCAAACTTTTGAGCTCAAGCAGTCTGCCCACCTTGGTCTCCCAAAGTGTTGAGATTATAGGCATGAGCCACTGCACCCAGCCAACAAAGAGATCTAATAGATATAGTCCTGTTGGGTTAGCTTTCTAACACTGTCGTACAGAGAGGTAGGCCCTTCCTCACTTTGATTAGTGACTCTATTCAGCAATCATTTGTTGAGTGCCTCCTACATACCAGGTAGTGTTCTAGGTGTTGGATGTCCTGTAGTGAACAAAAAAGACCAACTTTCCTTTCCTCATAAAGCTTATGTTGTAGAGAAGGGGAGAGACCATAAACGACTAAAATACCTGGTATGTAAGATGGCAGAAGTGCTGTGGAGAAACTTACAGCAGGGAAGTGTGGGAGAGAGGGCTGTGATTGAGATTTGCTAAGTTAATAGGATGGGAAGGAACAAGACCTCATAGAGAAGCTAACCTTGGAGCCAGGTAAATAACTGGGATATCTGATGTTGATCATTTCGTAAGGAAAACGCAGGCCCATTTGAAAGTTGACTCTCTCACCCAATATAAGAGTTCCCTCTTTTCCTGCTGTTCTTAAATGATGTCACTCTCCAAGAACAGAGTGGCTCAGCTTAAGCAGACTCTCATCAGAGAGCTTAAGGTTCATTTTTTCCCTAAAAAGGTTTAAGTGTAAAATTGTCTGTCACTCTCTGCAGGAAAAGTTGCTTGGTTTGATGTCGCTGCCGACCAAAGAACAGTTTGAGGAACTGAAAAAGAAAAGGAAGGAGGAAATGGAAAGGAAGAGGGCCATGGAGAGACAAGTAAGTGAAGCCAGGGATACAGGGCCTGCTTCTACCTGTGGCTCTCGAGCACAGAGGCTGCCATGGGCTCCCAGGTTGTGTGGGGTTGTAGTGATTCAGAACCTCTCACTCTCAAATGTGCATATTTCTTCTGTTGTGTTTCAGCTTCACTTTCTTCTATGGGAACCAGAGTAATTATTTTTCTCCCCAGGTCCTATTTTTCTTTCAGAGCTATTGCTGATTCTCTCATGGCTAGAATACCACAGAGATTGGCAGTTCTCCCTATGGTAGAAGTTGCAGAGGACCAAGACATTAGGAAGTTCCTTATAGAACATATTGGAATATGTAGTCTTAAACAGGAAATTATACATGTATTTAATGCTGTGTGAGATTTCAGTGTAGATGAGAGGGGAACAGATCTCGGAGGTTTAAGAAAAGTATACAGCCTGTGAATCTTTTTTTTTTTTTTTTTTTGAGACAGAGTCTCACTCTGTCACCCAGGCTGGAGTGCAATGGTATGGTCTCAGCTCACTGCAACCTCCGCCTCCCTTGGTTCAAGTGATTCTCCTGCCTCAGCCTCCCAAGTAGCTGGGACTACAGGTGCAGGCCACTACACTTGGCTAATTTTTGTATTTTTAGTAGAGATGGGGTTTCATTATGTTGCCCAGGCTGGTCTCAAACTCCTGACCTCGTGATCTGCCCGCCTTGGCCTCCCAAAGTGCTGGGATTACAGGCATGAGCCACTGTGCCTGGCTATAGCTTGTGATCTAAGACTGAGAAAATCTGATGCCCTAACTTATTCATTATATTTTATTTTTGAAAATCAGGGTCTCCCTTCCACCCACATACACAAAAACATGACTTGATTTTAGCAGTTGGATATCTTTGTCCTCAGGTGGGAAATTGGAGTGTCACTGGCTCAGGGATAGAAGGACAACAGAGGGTGGCTGACAGTGTGGGCTGCTGCCAGCATGGTGACTATTTCTTCTCTCTGTTTTGCTGTCTTCCCAGGCTGCCCTGGAGTCCCAGCGAAGGCTTGAGGAAAGGCAGAGTGGCCTGGCTTCTCGAGCAGCCAACGGCGATGTGGCATCTCTCCGCAGGGGCCCTGCCCACTTGAGAAAGGCTGAGGGCTGGCTCCCACTGTCAGGAGGTCAGGGGCAGAGTGAGGACTCAGACCCTCTCCTCCAGCAGATCCACAACATCACATCGTTCATCAAGCAGGCCAAGGCTGCAGGCCGCAAGGATGAAGTGCGCACCCTGCAGGAGAACCTGCGGCAGCTGCAGGATGAGTATGACCAGCAGCAGACAGAGAAGGCCATCGAGCTGTCCCGGAGGCAGGCTGAGGAGGAGGACCTGCAGCGGGAACAGCTGCAAATGCTTCGTGAACGGGAGTTGGAACGAGAAAGGGAGCAGTTTCGGGTGGCATCCCTGCACACACGGACTAGGTCTCTGGACTTCCGAGAAATCGGCCCTTTTCAGCTGGAGCCTAGCAGAGAGCCTCGTACCCACCTTGCTTATGCTTTGGATCTAGGCTCTTCCTCAATTCAAAGCAGCATAGCTCCCAAGACTCCTACACCCAGCTCAGCTCAAGAGCCCATCAGAGTGTGGTCTGGGCCCTCAGCCCTTGGTCAGGAGCTCTTAACCCAGAGCAGCATGTCACAGCAAAATGAGGGGCCCTCCTTAAACCCCTTTGATGAAGAAGACCTTTCCAGCCCCGTGGAAGAGGGCACTGCTAGTCCTCCTGCTGCAGGGGCTTCCTTCGGTCCTTCAGCCCACATCCCGAAAGAGTACAATCCTTTTGAGGAAGAGGATGAGGAGGAGGCAATGGCTGGGAATCCATTCATTCACCGAGACAGCCCAGCTCCTAACCCCTTCAACGAGGAAGACGAACATCTCCAGCAGAGGCACTCAAGCCCTCTGGTTCCTGGCAACCCCTTTGAGGAACCCACCTGTACCAACCCCTTTGAGATGGACAGTGACAGTGGGCCAGAGGCTGAGGAGCCCATAGAAGAGGAGCTCCTGCTGCAGCAGATTGATAACATCAAGGCATACATCTTTGATGCCAAGCAGTGCGGCCGTCTGGATGAGGTAGAGGTGCTGACGGAGAACCTGCGGGAGCTGAAGCACACCCTGGCCAAGCAGAAGGGGGGCACTGACTGACCAGCAATGGGGAGGGCACCTTTGGGCCCAGGGGTCTGGCAGGAGCCAGTGGAGCAGGAGCAGAGCAGGTGGGATGGATGGGGAAGGTGGTGGGGTGAGAACTCAGATGCACACTGTTGTGCTCTTTGAGGTATTTCCACTACAGTTGAATAATAAAATAGAAACTAGAACAGGGAGAATCAGCATTCATTTGCTGTTTTTCCTGTTTATTATTATGTTTTTGTAATCAGAGGTTTACCACTTTTGAAGGGAGTTTACATTTTTACTACCAAGATATAACTAAATGCAGCTCTGTTGGGCCCAGGGCAGAAATGGCTGCTATGCACCTCTTGGGTCCATTTGCTACTGCTCGTCTTGGGTCCTTATGCAGTATTATAGGGCAGCCTTTTTAGAGACCTTCCTTTAGCCAAGACAGAGAAGATAGATTCCATTGAGCTGTATTCTGCTCAGACAGAAGTCCATCCCTAGTAGGCTGTGAGTTCCATTTCACGTGGGGCCGCCTCTCCCCTGCTTGGTGCTTCCTGTCAGTACAGCAGAATGGGGAGGTGCTGCTATATAAAGGGGCGACTTTAGATGCAGGAGAGCCCAGCACCTCTTTTTAAGGCAGGGTGACAGGAATATTTTACTAGGGTCTATTTTCTCAGCTTAAGTTCTTTTTTGTCTCTTTCAGGAAGTTAAGCTCCCAGTGCAGGGGTATCAATGTGAATCTGGTCCTGAGCTTTTTAGAAAATAAGAGTGGTTAACTTTTTTTGTGAGAAGAGTTTCACCACTCTTGTTCTAATGGAACAATTCTCTGTCACTGGAGAAATCTCCCTCCAGAGCTTGGCAAAATTACTCTGATCTGGGTCTGCTTAAAAGGCCTAGTCTCTAATTTAGGAATCGATGATCTGGAAGCTTTTGCGGAACATCGCCAGAAGAAGGGAAGCTTCCCAGAGTCAGAAGGTAAAATTAAAATAATTTTGGTTCCATTTTGGTTCATCTTGTCCTGAGCTGGGGCACTGATGAGATTTTTTTTTTTTTTTTTTGAGACAGTGTCTGTCTTTGTTACCCAGACTGGAGTGCAGTGGCATAAACTAAGCTCACTGCAACTTTGGCCTCCTGGATTCAAGCAATTCTTGTGCCTCAGCCTCCCAAATAGCTGGGATTACAGGTGTGTGCCACCATGCCTGGCTAATTTTTGTTTTTTTGTAGAGGCGGGATTTCACCGTGTTGGCCAGGCTGGTCTCAAACTGCTGGTCTCAAGTGATCCGCCACTTTGGCACCTCCCAAAGTGCTGGGAATACAGGTGTGAGCCACTGCACCCACCCTAATGATGTATTTTATTAACAATATTAGTATTAAGAACCTGAAATGTTTGAAGAAGCACAATCCAGGATCATGCTGGTAGCACCATAGTACTTAGACTATTGGCCAATTAAGGCCAGAAAGGGAAGTTGTTAATTTCGCTTTGGTGCTTTGGTTTATAGAAACATAACCCTTAACTGACATCTGATGTCATACCCACATATGCTCAGCTCTGGGTAGAGTTTCTGCAGTTACTCATCTTAACTAATGAACAATAACTGACCACTAGTCACTTTATGCCCTGTAACTAACTCTAGGCCATACTTTCACTGGTTACTGGTGTGAGAACTGAAATTCATTGTGTTACATTCTGGTGAAGACCGCTCTTGGTAATGGGAATGTTTGAACTCTCTTGATAAAAAAATAATCTGTATTTCTGTTGATGTTGTTCACATTTCTTTAGCACATTTCTTAGTCTTTGGGTTGAATGAAAAGGTCTTGTATAGGGTTGTAGGCACAGGGAGTGGGTAGAAGTGTATGAAGGACTCTTTGCATTTGGGACCTGTTCACTAATAGCCATACCAGTGGGTTAACGAAGGTCAGCCGGTCAGCAACCCTGCTGGTTGTTATGGGTTTTGAGAAGTTGGCAACCAGGCATCTAAGATGTTGCCTGGCACAGGCCTCTTTTCTTCCCTGAGGCCCATGACATTTCTCTGTTATTCTAGAGGGTTTCCCAGATGGCCGGTAGGCTCCTCCCTGCTTAGGCTCTCATTTCTCTGACGAGGATGAATTGAAAAGCAGGTAGTTCCAGAAGCTAATTGCTGCTTTCCCTCATAATTATTTTTCTTATGAGAACATTTCTCTCTTAATTAGCTGGTGATTTTGATTAAGACCAATTCACTAAACATACCTCTTCCCTCAGATCACCTCAGGTGGCAATCTATAAGTAACAGCACTGAAAAACACACAAGAAACATTTTTTTTTTTTTAACTATTTTTAAAAACCTGGCCAGGCAGTGGCTCAGGCCTATAATCCCAGCACTTTGGGAGGCCGAGGCGGATGGATCACCTAAGGTCAGGAGTTCGAGACCAGCCTGGCTAACATGGTAAAACCCTGTGTCTACTAAAAATACAAAACTTAGCCGGGCGTAGTGGCGGTTGCCTGTAATCCCAGCTACTCAGAGGGGCTGAGGCATGAGAATTGCTTGAACTCGGAAGGTTGCAGTGAGATGAGATTGCGCCACTGCACTCCAGCCTGGGTGGCAAGAGCAAGACTGTCTCAAAAAACAACAAAAAACACCAACTCATTGAATATACTAAACCAAACTAAAATCATATTCTTTTGATTTGATTGAGTTTATGCATTGTTGTATTCTTCTATGAATTATTCCACTTAATTCTTCCATGATTATATTTTCCTGTAAATACATCACAGGAGTTAGAATTCTCTAACCATCAGCTATACCATCTCACAGAATTTATACAGGCATAAAGCTGGACTTACAGAGACGGGTTGACAGCAGGGAAAACTTGGCCTATCTATTATAACCACAACTTCAAATTCTTACCTCTTGAATATTCACCTTTCCTGTAATCTTCCAAGGCAAACAACCCTGTCTCATCACCAAATGAGCAATGTCTTGTTATGGCATAGCAGATCATGAGATCTCCCTAGACACAGATCATGAGAAAATATGGAAGAGACTTTGGGATTCAGGCATCAGGTGAAGTTGGCTTTTCCCTTTTATGCCTTGTTTGTATTTCCCCCTGTCTAATACACTAAGGATACTTACTCATTGTACTTGCAGCTCAATATGTCTTTGCTGTTCAGATACTAAAATGTACCTCTGAGTCATTGTGAGCTGTGTGGTAGGTTGGACATTAGCATTTTTGGTGATGGGACTCAAAAGGAAAAGTCTGTGATCATTTTACCAGGTTACAGACTGTAGCAGATTGTGCTTGTTATCTGACAATGACTGTCACTTTGAGGGTCATTGATTTGCATGCACTACTCTGGGGCCTTGTATTGGAGCCTTTTTAAAAAATAAAATAAAATCTGAGATAGAGGTTGGGGTTGTATGTGTCTGTGTGCACGTGTGTTACAAGTGAGAATCATCAGATGACATCCCTTCTCCTTTCTTGATGACAACCACCTGAGTATCAGAAGATAGTTCCAGCTCCTGTGTTGTTTGTCTAGTGAAGTCCTCTGGAAAAAATGAAGGTCACTGGGCTCTGAACAGGGGATAGATATGGGTTCCAGTTCTGCCCTTATCCCCAGATATTCCTGCAGTGCTGGTTAAATGAACAGTTTTACACAAGCATAGTGCAGATCTCTTAATGATCCTATCGTCCCTGTTTCACACTGGAAGAAACTGAGGCTCAGAGACTGAGGAACCTTATGACTGCCATCTGTGCCAGTCACCACCTCTGCATGACCACATTTACATCCATTAGCACTACCAGCATACGTGTGAGGTAGTTACTCAGCTGTTCATCTGACCCCAGACATAGAAAAGTTAAAGAGAGATTAGCCTGGGTTAGGCCACACAGCCAGTTCAGTGATGGAATGATGGTTTCAATCCAGATCTGCCTGACTGACTTTGCCCTCAGTAGCAAGTAGCTGGCTCAGGTGGTGGTGAGTGCTCAAGCATTGTGTCAAGCTCAAAGGTGGCAGAAATGGTCAATGGGGAATGAGATTGGGTGCTGCCAAGTTGGTTTCTGATAGTGACTTTACCCATATCTTTGAAACTGATACCTCCCTAGGGCCTATGTAGATTCCTAAACTGGGAGAATATTATATGTAGTGCTCACTGTAGGCTAGACTGAGTGCTAAGTATTATGCATGACTTACCTCAGTCTTCCCAACAACCCCAGTTTACAGATGCAGAAATGAGTAAGTAGTAAAGTTAAGCTTGCTTAGGGTTGCACTGCTGGGTTTCCAGCCTAGGTCTGTCTGACTGCAAAACCCAAGCTGCCCTAGATTGTGTTGTACGTGGACACCCATGTTTCTAACATGGAATACGGTGTCTCATCCCTAGTAAGTGCTTCCTGTGGACTTTAAGATGAATAACTTTGGCCTAACTCTTCAGGAAGCCTAGCGTAGTTGTAAAAATACTTCAGAAGGCACTTCTGGTTTCAGCTCAGACATGTAGAGTGTGAAAGTTATCCTATCTTTACCACAAGAAAAAGCTGGGCAAACAAAATCAATGGCCTTTCCTGGGCCCTTTAGAGAGCTAAGTTTGCAGGGCAAACTGCCATCCCAAAATCTGGAGAGAGGTGAGTCCAGAGAGTCAGCAAGATCTGATTGCCTGGAGCAGAAGCCACTGGAGCCATACTAGTAGGAAAACGTAAACGGTAATTTTGATGAACTGCTGGAGGTTGAATGTGGACTAGCATGGGAATGAGCAACACACTTTCCTGGGTTTTACCCTACTTGGTTCTCTTGATGAAGAGCTGAGAAAGACCCTCTGGTGGCTCTAGCAGAGGATGGGAAGAATCATCTTTGTAATCAGAGTCTTCTCCATAACAAAGCTTATTCCCTGGAGGAAAGTACTTTTCACAGAGATTTATCCCATCTGGAGGAGGGCATGTCTCCCATTCCAGCCCCCTTTGGCTTTCCTGGGTCATTTAAGGGGGTACCAAGGGGAATTGAGAAATATTTATGGGCCAGTGCAGTGGCTCACGCCTGTAATTCTAGCACTTTGGGGTGTCAAGTTGGCCAGATTGCTTGAGCCCAGGAGTTTGTGACCAGTCTGGGCAATATGGTGAAACCTCATCTTTACAAAAAATACAAAAATAAACCATGCGTTGTGGCACATGCCTAGGAGGTAGAGGCTGCAGTGAGCCGTGATTGTGCCACTGTACTGTACTCCAGCCTGGGTGACAGAGCAAG